GACACAAGTAAATTCAATTTATCTAGTGTCACAAGTGAACATAAAGATGATCATTGGAATTATAATGATACAACAAAGATAAGTAATAATAATGTAGACTCGAAATCTCCGGATGTTATAGAACCCGAGATAAATAATTATGACGTGGATGTATTGGATAAAAACGTGTGGAAGCCTAGTTTAGTTTTCAAAAATAAGACCGAAACAACAACGACTTCGTCGGTCATTATGAGAATCGGTCCAAAGAGTACCGATGTAGAACTTTTTAATATTGAAACAGCACCGTTTCAAGAAAGTAAGTTAATGATATAATTTGATGCAATTTTATACGCTTTTATGTATGTATTGAATGCTGTAAAATTTTGGTAAGTTATTTCTTTATTTGCTTTAGTGCATGATTTTTTTCTAACTACTTTCTCGCCGTTCAAAGTATTGTGCAGTAATAAAATAAATGTTTTACTCTTGGATTAAGCTTACGGAGGGAGCATAATAAAATACTATTGTTTTTTGTTGCAAAAAATAAAATTATAAAATGAGATTTATTTATTTTCTGAGTTTAAAATTCAAATCAATGAGTCAAGTTAAAATTTCTGTTAACTAATTACTATTTAATGAATGTTTCAAATATTTTTAAATATTAAATATATACTTTGTGTAGAAAAATCTATTTTATTTTACTTAATAATTATTTATTAAAAGGATATTATGTAATGTGAAAGATGTTTAAATACAATTGTTCTATTTTTACTATTATACATACAATATTTATGTACTATATATTATATATATATATTTTTTACATACATTATATATTTATCTTTTATTTACACAGTTTTCTTTAGCTGACTTGATTTTGTTCTTTTGCATGTGCTTCTTTTTTTGCTTTCGCATAATTTTAATTTTACATATAAATATTGCTGCATAAAAATATATTCGTGTAGATGATGTATGTATATACAACACTAACAACGCAATACATTTTACATTGTTTAAACAAATACAAAAAATAATAAAAAGGAGTAAACAAAAAATTTATTTCAATTGTAGAAGAATCTCCGTTCCCAGTTTATTATGTGCAGCCAGTGCATCCATTAACACACTCAAAAAGATTTGATCACTTAACACCTATATCTGGTCAGGTGAGAACATTTAATATTTATTATTATAAAGATGAATTCAGAAAAATTCAATCTTGATTATAATAAAAAAATAATATTTTATTCAATATATTAATAGACTGTTCGTTTGAGAAATGGCTCTGGGCCTAATAATGGTTACGTTGAAGTACAAGGAATATTGCCTGGTTGGGGCATTGTGTGTGATTCAAGAAATAGTTGGACTTTAAAGGAAGCTCATATTTTGTGTAGACAATTGGGATATATCAGGTATCAAATAGAAACATTATTATATTTTAAAAATTGTGTTGAAAATTGTCATTTATGTTACTCTACATTTTGTAACTATGCGCATATACATACTTATAATAGCATCATATATATTTAAATTCTATGTAATATATTTTTAATATATACTTTTTATTTATAGATAATATATAATAATTTTATATATTATCCGTTTGTTCTAATAATCTAACTTTATTTGTTAAACAAATAAAGATAAAATATTCATTTGTTGTTAAAGCTTAATATAAAGGATTTAGGATTAAAAAAAAAAATATATATATATATATATATATATATATATTTTATTTATTGTAGAGGCGCAGAAATGGCTTGGCAAGGCAGAAATAATCGCAGTAATATGCCAACTTGGATTGCTGCGAATACTGTAACATGTCATGGCAATGAAACCAGATTTCAATCATGCAAGTAAGATACTGTTGTCATTAATAATTTATATATAAACATTCCTTTTAATAAAGATGATGAGAGAGAGAGAGAGAGAGAGAGAGAGAGAGAGAGAGAGAGAGAGAGAGAGGAGGGAGGGGAGGGGAGGG